ATGACTGAAGTGGAGTGTCCCACAGACGCTTGAGAAAATGCTAGCCGTCCGGCACGGCCGGCTTGAAGCGACGGGTGCTTTTGTCCTTGTTTTAAATCCATTTGGTCAGATCCGAATCAGTGTTGCGTCGATTGGTACAACTCCGATCAAATCTCCGAAGTTTAAATTGCGGATGCTGGCAGCTGCCGACCCTTTTGGGATTGTTTCCCTCTGAAGTGAAAACGTGGAAACGTTATCTGGGACCTATATAATCCTTCTGAACTTACAGTAAAACCTTGGCCACTGTGTTGAAATCAAAATGGCCACAAGGAAAGACGGGGAAAAGCGGCGCGTGGCGGCCATCACTCTGCAGACGCCAAAGCCGCCGCCCCCATCAAAAATTTGATCTTGACTGAAATTTCAATCAAACGCCCAGCTTTACGGAAAGAATTTCCTGGCTGGCTTTTACTTGTCCTCTCCAAAAATCAGCACAGAAAACAACGGGAAAGGCAAGCTACGCGCGAGTTTGAACTGTCACCTGCAGAGAACGACGCGCCGCGCCGCCGTTCCTCGTTATTGTTGCAAATTTTTTTCTGCCATTTACTTTAGAAGGCCGCCAGATGTTTTATCGCAAGTTCTGAGCTTAGAGAAGAAGTTTGTCAATTTTCCAACTCAGAGGTAAGTCGTCGGCAGCTGTCGGCATCTCTCAACCTTTCCGAGATTGGTCGGAGATGTATACGCACTCGATGGAAATGAAGGTCTGAGACAGGGCAGGCCCAAGGCAGGTCTAGAGGTCTAGCTAGCATTTGTGGCGTTGACTGCACACACGATGTCGTGGCGCATGTCAATTTGCTGGCATTGACAGATAGAGTGGCTTCCGGCGCTTTGAACTCTCCGGATCCGACTCCTCGCGAATCACACGCCGGATACTACACAGTAAGACCACTGCACAACCAGAGGATAAGGATAATATTAACCATTTCTTGTGGAGCCGCTAGGGACAATCACCAAATGGCACGGATGCATGCACAGCACGTACGTAATAAGCTGAGCAGAAGAAATAGTTCCGCGTTGGAGCCGCCAACGTATTGACGTTATATATAACGGCTCGCGGGCACATGTTCGCGGCAACGAAACACACTGCCAGCACAGCTTCGGGAACAAAGGCAGGGGTAATAAAACGAGTCAGATGATACGGATCAAATACTGGCAGGGTTTACTTGGCATATTACGATTGTATTACGAACTTGTTCAGGGCAATCGCTCGTTCATTTTATCCAGATCGTTTGCGGGCGTCTGGGACACATCATCGATATTATTTTGCCCCAGTGGTCTGCGTCCAAGCAAGAAAGTGGTTCTTCCATGAAGCTGATAATATTCGTGTGGAATCTCGGAAAGTCAGATTCCTGTTGCAAGTTTTCTGTCGGAGACGTCACAAACGCGGGGACCACGGCGTACCGAGCGCGCCGATGGTAGATCAAAGAGCTGCTCCAACGCCACGGTCAGTTAAATTTCGGGTCCGGCCAATCGCGTCGCGTCGTGCTTCTCCTCCTTCCCCCACCCTCCTCCTCCTGTGGTCCATCCTAAACCAAGACATACATGCCGGCGATCTCTCGCGGAGAAGTCTCGTACATTACGGGTGCTGCGTCTGGTAAGCTTCCAGTTCGGTTGTGCCACAATTACTATAATCATTCGATGTAGGCATAGGGCGCGCTCTTGCAACTATGCTGGTGAACCAAGGGTAGGATAAGCTCCAATGTTCTTTATTCAGGGATAAACTTCGCACAGCGGACTCGTCATTATCGCGGATCTGAACGGAGAAGCTGGAGCTAAATTTGCCTCGGAACTGAATGAGAAAGCGGGCAGCATGTGAGTGGCTTATTAATGTAATCCTTCGGTGGCCTCACCGCTCCTCCTGGCTTCGCTAGTGTTGCTATCTCGGTCAAGGCGGATACTACCGTGTGGGAAGACCAGCTCGCTGGCTTTCAGCTCGCTACGAGTACTTTCAAGCGCATCGATTATGGTGCGTAATATTCCAAGCCAATGAAACCCGCATAATTTTTGCATGGCCAGTATTCGCAAATGCCGGAGTTGCCGAACACCCATGGCTTCCTCCGTTCGATCCCAAGACCGCAGCGTCAAGACCGTTCGCCAAACCGAATCTAGCCACCGCCAGTATTAATCTGACTGGACAGTTGTACACTGCCGCGCTGGCACTCCAGACTTTTGAGCGGCAGGAGATCGGTCCCTCCGGGTTCCGTGGCAAGTTGATCCTGACTGCGTCGGTCTTCGGGTATTTTCCGTCGAAGGCGATGCCACTTTACGCAGCTTCCAAGGCGGGAATCATCAACTTTATGCGTTCAGCGGCCCAGTATTACGCAGGGAAGAATATCACCGTCAACGCCGGTGAGCGCTTTATTCCTTGCCAGGAATAGTTCGCTTACAAACTTCGTTTTCGAAGTTTCGCCCAATTTAGTTGGTAAGATTTGTTTAATGGCCGTCACTCTTCCTCTGTGTCTGACCTTACGCAGATACGCCAATTGCTCCCGATGTCTTATTCATTCCTTTCCGGGAGCGAAAGCTGTTGTCGGACATAGAGCTCGTCATCGAACAATTCAAGGTGCGCTCGGATAATGGTTAGACGTATTGAAGCTCACTTATTGTTATCTTAGAAATTACTCGGAGAAAGCACCGTGAACGGTGAAGCGTTATCCATTAGCGGCGATACTGTTTGGGTTCACCCGGCCGATGCACACATGTTGAAAGAGAACAGCCCAGCGTGTGATCTTATCAGTGTCGAGATATTCAAGCTATTTGGAGACAAGACCCAATAATTCATTCTCAGAAAATACATGCGGCCAATACTCTACAGTAGTACATAGCTGGTCCCCCGTAGACAGACTCCACAAGTTTTAGGACAGTCGATGAAACTTTGATATGGAGTGCATATGTAGCTAGTACAGTAGCATAGCTTGAGCGCCCGGCAGTTGATTTTTTTTTGAACGGTCACGTGTATTTTGGTTTGAATTGTTCAAGTAACTTAGTAAGAGCATGTGCCAAGTAAGAACAAAAAAAATTACAAATGGATGGAGAGGGTAACATCTTGTTCTTCAGTCGTCCAAGTCTCTTGTGGCGAATATTTCGCAATCCCGGTAGTCCAAGGGACGCAGCAAATGACACCGTTCACAAATTATAGCAGCTCCAAAAACCATCAAAAAAAAGGAGACGCGGCACAACGATGCTCGGTCCGCCTTTGTTGGTATCACGGTTATTTGTATGATCATCTCGTCCGGAAGCCATTCGGTGATTGCATGCCTTGGCTCGTCATAAGCCACACATCGAGTCAGAAGTATCAGGGAAAGGATAGCGCGACTGCTAAAATCGCAGCTGTGAGTGGGTAGGTTAGGGAAATATAGCTGTGCGGTGAAGCTAGACTACGCTCCGCGGAGCGTAACTGTATTTACTTTTCAACTGAGGTATGGGGTGATGTCCTGCCTATGATTGAGGTATGCATGTAATACTCGATGACCACTGCGGGCGAGGTACGATGTTCCTTGTTGAAGCGTCTGTTTACGATAAACGAAATTCACAGATCAAAGAATGGATAGAACGAAAGACCAGCCAACGCCTTGAACTCGCCCAATTCATACGTCTCCCACGTCCCATTTTTTTAGATCAATTGCTCGCACATGCAATGCTGCAGGAAACTTACTCATACAGCACGCGAGCAATGTCGGACATGCGTCACCAGAATGGCTATTTGAGCTTGCTCGATGTAGACATTGATGCTGCGATAAAGGGGGCCGTGGACTGCTAGAAAGCGCAAGTTCGTGAAGCGCAGGGGGTCGCCACTGATCTTCCCTATTAAATCCTGTGTAACGTGAGCGCAGCCCCAAGCGAATTAAGAAGAGCGAGGTACCTTGCGCGATTGTCACTCGTACAGCCGCAGATGCAGGGTCGTCGTGTGCAGCATGTTCCTCGAGATGGGTGCCAGAATCTCCGTGAAGCCCGGATAAGATCAATTAATGAACAGTATGAATGGCGCGTCGGTGCCTGTGATCGTTTTCAGGGCAAGGACGGTTTCGTGATCGATGCGATCGTGGTTTCGTCAGTACAGTCCAGCCTCCGCCGCATCGGAGGCAGCGATGGACGGAATGAGTCTCACCGGGCAGCGAAGATGTTGCAGATGGCGAAGGAAAATTCTAGGCCATGTCAATGGCCAGGCTTCGAGCTCGACAGAGGACTGGATATGGAGGGATGTCAATGCTGTATGGCGACGAAGAAAGGATGCAAGATTGTCGTCTCGCTCTGTGGAAGTCCACTGCCGCTCGTGGGTACCGAGACTGCACTGGACAAGACGAGGAAATGTCCAGGTGCCACCGTGAATGACCGGAAAAATACTCCCAGGGGATTATTTGAGAGAACTGAAGCACAGAAAACAGCGGTAGAGGGAGCAGTTTCAAGGTACACGACGCGGTACAGCACAGGCAGACTGAGGGCATTAAACAGTTTGGACACACGGCAGAGCAAAGCTTGGGCCGATTGTGGGACAGCCTTTTTTATCTCGGTCATGATTTCGTTTGGAAACCATCGCACGATGGTTTTGCAATTGGCACTCGACGAGCGAAACCATGGTGGTCGTTTGGGTCAAGTGGTTTGATCGCAATTTCAAACTCCGCTTGCTGCTTGCGATCCGAATCTAAATCATCAATGATGCAACGAAAGAGTTTTTGGCGCAGCAAGTTGGATTTTTACCGAGAGCTTGGCTGCAAGCGTCCAAAATTGAAGCCAGCTTGGGGAAGTGAGTGGAAGTCAAAAGCAAAAGAGAATCGGGCGTTGCCGGATCCTGTGGTCCGCACGTGCTTTCCTCGAACTTCAAGTTGAAATCGCAGCGGGTGGGGGAGCGCACAGGACGTGGGATTTAATTTGACATGAACTGGAGGCTAACTCCGAGAGATTGGAGCTTGTAATTACGGAGAACGAAAATAAATTAAGTGAAAAAAAGCGGCTACAAATGCCTATGGCCTGACCTTGAATCGAACAAGGAACCCCAGCTTAAATCTGTAACCCTTGCAAAATAAGTGAAGCAAGTGTGTTACCATTACGCCACCAGGCCATTTCTGGTTCTCCCAGGCAAATAAATACAGGAATTTTGTGAACGACACAATAAAAAGATTTGAACAAGGGGATGCAGTGGCCTAGCCTTGAATCGAACAAGGATCTCCCACCAAACTATTCACACAGTCATTATGTGAAGCGGGTGTGTTACCATTACACCATCAGACCACACACTTGGCCTGCGTACCACGAAGTAATGATGTGGGTTTTTGTACATGAACTTGACACGAAAAACAAAGCATTCACAAAAAGAGGAATAACCTGCCCTTGAATCGAACAAGGATCACTCGCCCAACAATGACTGAGAAAATCTTATATAAAGCGGGTGTGCTACCATTGCACCAGCAGGTCTTGTTCTGCACAACTGGTAATAAGCCTGGCGTGATCGTGGTTCGAGTTGAATAAAAGGTTGAACATTCAAGGGGCCATCAGAGTATGTAGTGTCTCACTCGTATACTATCATAAAACTGTGTGGAGTCTGACTATGGGAGACTATCTCACTCGCAGATTTACACCAACTTGAAGAGGGTTCTAGGTCTCCTCCTCAAATACCTCTTGTAATTTTCAGTACGGCTTCCTGCTGTTTCAATTTGGGACCGCGTAGGCAATCCTCCTCCTCCTGTTCTTTTTTGAGATTTATAACGTCGCTGCTGCACGGTTACTGCAAGTCGAAGGCCTAGGCCCGTGACGAAACAGTGACAGTGGCATCACTCAACCTTGACGCCGCGAACCACCACTCCGAGCCGATGCTCGCCTCCCGCCCGCTGCACCTGTCTGCCGACGGGCGCCTGGGCACCAAAATGCCCCGCGAGAAGGCCGTTCACCACGGGGCGATGAACACGGGAAGGCCAAGGCGCACGCACAGGCGCCGCACTTGGTACGCCCGACCGCGCAATTCCTCGAGGTTCAGCATCTCATTTTATCGCGCACGTAGAGCCTTCGTGCTTATTAAAGGACGCATTATTGGTGGAGAACCACACGCGTATTGTTGACCGGCCCCTGGGGGGCAAGACGCGGTTCCCGACTCGCGCCAACGTGAGCACCTTCGACACGCCACTCCGCGCACACCCACAACCGAGCTCAATGCGGGCGGTAGCACGTCCGCGCGCCGCTGCCGCGCAACAACTTCGTCACGCCCGTCAGCGCGGGGAACCACGGGACGTCATCACGCTCGCTTTCGCCCCCGTGTCTGTTCCGCGAAGCTCTACCTAAGGACGATGAGAGTGAATGCATGCCCCCGAATACGCTTCTTTTTCTTTCCCCGCCCTGTGTGTCTCAATCTTAGCTGGCGTTTATATTGGGGGTAAAAGCACGCCGTACTGCTGGATGGATGCGAGTGTGAGATGTCGGTCCTCTCACTGCTGGACCTTCGTGCGTCTCTCCTTGCTTTGCTTGGGCGCGAACTGACAAGAAAGTGTGGGTAATTTGTAGAGTCGGACGACCTGTTTTGGATGTGCCAGTGCCCACGACCGAAGTGTGACCGTTGCTCTCGCGGCCTGGGACGGCCGCGTCGAGGCAGAGGCAGGCAAGCCGTCTGACCCTGTGACTGGTAGGCCGCGCTGAGGAAGCCGCTCGTGGAGCATGCATGGAGGAGGCCTCTGGTTAGCGCGGCGAATAAGCATCCGGTGGCGGCGGCTTCACTTGTATTGAGTATTGAGGAAGCCTCTGCTCGTGCACGCTGCCTCATCTCCCAAGCTTCCGCTCGTATGCCCCCCCCCGACCACAACCTCGAGCAAGCCGCACGTCGATCTCGAGTAAACCTTCCTACGGCGCTTCGCTCTCGACCAAACCTCCGCCCGTGCGCGCTGCCTGGACCTCCACCCTCCACTAACCCTCCAGTAGTGCGCACCACCGCATTCTCGGGCAGGCTAATCCCGCTCGCGATGCACACAATGGAGCCGGCGCTTTTTTCCTCGTTGCGCGCGCCAGCGCCGGCATCGGGCCTATCGCTCGGGGATACAAGTCAGATCCGATTTTTTTATTCGATGTGAGAGTTGTGCGTGCGTGGAGGTGCTTGGGGTATGTTGAGCGGGATGATGGTTGGTTGGCGCGCGCTACTGCATCCGTACGCCAAAGACAATTTAACTTGAATGTCTTGAGCTATCTCTCATCGACCTGCTGTACTGTGCTACACAGGCTGGTCTTTTCGCTTCTCATGCCACTCATGCATACGTGAAACTATCGAACACAGGGAGTGTATCGGAAACATACTTCCTTTGCTTATTGCAGCTTGCGAGGTGAAGTTTCAGCAGGAGGACCTTGCTCGAGTCAAGGTCAGGCCATCTCCGTGTTTATTCGTCTTTTTCTTTCGTTCTTGCTGTTCCGAGGGTGTAATATGTATGCTAAAAGGAAGAGCATAGGTAAGGCCTGGTGGCATATTGGTAGCACACCTGCTTTACTTGGCCCATTAAAGGAATGATTTCAGCAGGAGTGCCTTGTGAGATTCAAGGTCAGGTCATCTGCTTTTTTTCTTGTCTTATATCTTATTTCTTGGGAGTGCTCTCTCGTTTAACTTCTGGACCTCCGTCTTTGAATTCGCTTAAATTTTTCGCATTGACACTCTGCATTGGCCTTGATGAACCTCGCACTAGTACTCGCCTCGTCTGCATCAACGAAAAATATACCACACTTCCGATGAAATCCACTTGAGTGAGTTCAAAATGCTATAAAGCTCAATGTGAGCATAGACAACTATCGGCCTGGTGGTGAAAGAGTATTGCCTCCCTCCTCATGTAAGCATTTTTCATGTGTTTGTTGGGAAATCTCTTGTTTGAAGCAAGGTCAGGCCATACTACTCCTTCGACAATTTTTTTCCCCATCGAGTCTTCTCTGCACCTGTACTTGACTTCATTCTGTTGACAGTATGAACAATGACCCAGTGGTGTAATGGTAGCACATCCGTGAACTGTCAAGAGAGCGAATGGAAGTTTTCAGAGGAAGGTCCTTGTTTCAGAGGAAGGTCCTTGTTCGATCCAAGGCTGGGCCGTGGCTTCTTCAGGTGTAGGTTTTTTCCTTCCCGTTTTTTTCTGACTCCTTAAGCTGTAAAAGCGGATGATGAGTTAGCGTGCAAGGACTGAAGGCTCATTCTTATTCACTGAATATATACGAGCCAAGCGTTGTGGATTCAGATCACCGAACACAATTTAACGAACCCTCGGTGCACGTGTCATGAGCTCGGCAACCGCCGGACTCTCTTGCTCTCTACTTCCACAGTTCGCACAAAAGACAGCGATAAATTTGCTTTACCAGTCGCAGCATCGCCACACTTGCCCTTTATGCTTTGTTATACTGTCGTCCAAGCGTCTCGAGCTTCAAGCCTCTGTCTCCATGAACACTTCTGCTGGCCGCTGGCAGCACGACAATCTTTCTCAACATCCGAGGTAGAGCTCTTACTCGCCAACGCGCACCCATGGACATCTCCTCAACATATTCTAGTGTCAAAGCTCGTGCCACCCGCATTCTTCAATCTGAACCCCGAATTCAATGCGAAGTCTGCAGAAGTTTCGTACTGCCTTTGCTTGTACAACCCTGGAGTCCAGCATGCCGCCGGGCGGACGCACTACCTTCATTCACGAGTATTGTGAGCTTCAGGGAGATACGAGAGACTTCATACGACGGGTATAGAGGATTCAACCACTCCCCAAGAGTCGCAAGTCCGTGCAGCCGAATACCCGAATACCCGGGTTCGGCAAACCTGAAGTTCAAATAATAACTGGCTACGCAAGAGCTTCTGACCACACCGAGATTACGCGCGGTGGCCGGCATGGCAGCTTTTAAGGAACGAGATATGCTGACGCGACATTAAAAATCCCTCCTCCCTCCCATAACTATCAACTCACGATCGAACCCGCGATGAAGCTTACCATCGGGGCGTTTATCAAGGGCCAGTTCGCCAAGCTGCCCCCGGTGGCGAAGGCGGATCTCGCCGGGAAGACTGTGATCGTGCTCGGAGCCAACACGGGGCTCGGGTTCGAGGCCGCGAAGCACTTTGCGCGCATGGGACCGGGGCGGCTTATCCTTGCGTGTCGAAGCCAGAGCAGGGGTCAAGCAGCGTTGGACAGTGGGTTTCTCAATCGAATCACCGATTTCGTGGCTGATCTAAATCCTGGAGGTAGAATTGAAAGCGGAAACAGGCTCCAAGAACGCCGAGCTGTGGCTCGTTGACCTGGCAGATTTTGCGTCCGTCAAGCGCTTCGCGGACAAGTTCGAGCAGGATGGCGGGCGGCTCGACATTCTAGTCGAAAACGCCGGAATCTCGACCTCCAAATACGCTCCGACCAAGGACGGCTGGGAGACCGCGTTCGTGTTGCCCACCCATTTCTATGTACCCCAATTCACCGGTTGAACTTCGCCAGCATTCAAGTCAACTGCCTCTCCACGCCGCTCGTCGCGCTTCTACTGATGCCGCACATGATGCGCACGGCGCGCACGTACAACACAGTCCCCCGCCTCGTCGTCGTCGCGAGCGAGGTGCATTACTTCACCACGATCCCCAAGAGCGTCTGCGACGGGGACGCACCCCTCGCGACGCTCGGCAGCGCCGCGTACTGCACGCCCAAGTACGCACCCCTTCCCACCGCCCGCCTGTATGTCCTTCTGATCCGCTTTGCCTTCTCCAGAGCGATGCGCAGCAACTACATGCTCACGAAACGTACGTACCCCTGCGAGGCTGTCCCTTGTCCTGTCTCAACACCCGTCGTGCAGTCCTCAACGTCTTGTTCGTACGCGCGCTGAACGCGCGCCTCGACCCAGGTGCCCCGCTCATCGTCTCCGCGATCAACCCGGGATTCTGCATGTCGGAGCTCGGGCGCGACGAGTCGCGTGTCGTCGTATTCATCGGGAACATCATGAAACGACTCCTCGCATTCACCGCCGAGGAGGGCAGCCGGCAGCTCGTCTTCGGCGCCGTTGGCAGCGCGGAAGACCCTAACGCCCTGCGCGGCGGGTACACCAACCAGTGCAGGGTCGAGGAGCCGAGCGACTTTGTCATGAGTCCCCTCGGCCAGAAGGCGCAGGATCGCATTTGGGTTCGTTTTGCGTGTTTTAATTGGAGCGTACCAGTTGGCTGACTTGGTTGTTTGTTGTCACAGGACGAACTGGTGGAGACATTGGGGAAAGTGGATGCGAGGGTGTTGCAGACGGTGGATAAGTATCTGACCCCTAAAGCTTAAACCGTGATATCAATTGTTTGCTTCGAGCTTCCTACTAATATTCTTCTTACGATACAGCCTTGCTTCTTACTTACATTTATCCACAACAATTTATTTGACCATGATTTCAGATGCGGATGCACTGTGCACCGTCTACCAATTTACGATCCATCCGTTTCAAATGGGATTGTAACTATCGATTTTCAACACATGTCACGTGCGGTCCAAGCGACCGTTACTGAGTTTTTGTTTACAACTGAAGGTGGTATATTGAGCGCTACGGTCCCCGCTAGAAAGACACTCAAGTTTTTACCTTTACGTCTCAGGAAGAGGATTAATGGTTCAAGTTGTGAGGATGAGGTTGGCCCGTATTCCCGTGCTGCGTAGAAGGCGCACGATACGAATAGCCAGTAGTTCAACGTCCTCTTACTTCTCCCGCTTGGGACATCTGTGGGTTACATCTCGCCGATCCACCGTCATATGCAGATTCTTCTGAATCATTTGACGTGCCCACTGTATTCCAGTCTGCATTTGACAAGTCCATACGCTTTCGCTCGGACAAGAATTGACTTTAAATTATGCCTTAGCAGACACCCGGGAATGGTTTCTCCCGGTGTGGGTCTCGCTCATGATCAGAATATCGATAGCAAGTGTAATCATGCCATTATGATTCTTTGATCAGAACCCCGAATTCGATGCACAGTTCGCCGATTAGAAATTAGTATTACCCGTCCTGACCTCCAAAGTCTCAATCGTGAGGCCCATATAAAATTTTGGACTGTTAGTCAACTCCTCCAGTCGAACACCCTGCCGAGGACAGCCCCGTCCAGACACCATCTTGTACAGGTCCTCTCAAATGCCGTCCGAATTGGAGGTGAGATCTTGAGACTTCAAGCTTCAGGCTTCATGCTCCGAGTATTATTGGACTGAGGTGCTCACCAAATAACGCAAGTAGCGAGAGGCATTGAATTATCGCGAATTCAAAGGATCACCATCTGCCTCCATTTCCTGCAACGCGTCTATCCGCGGTGAGCGGACGCTGGGATGAACGTATACAAAATCACTCTTTACTTACTTTGCAGAGCCGTCGGGGTCGCTTCCTCTTCTTGGTAATCATGATCAGACACCGCGCGGAGCTTGCGCTGCTCATATTCGAATGCGCGGAGACAATCGGCGCATAACTTGACTTGAAAATTTCCGTCGGCAATTAGTGCTGTGGTGTTTCCTGTACACAGGTAGATGATCAACGACAACTTTCGACGCGGAAATACACTCTTACGAACCTTTTTCCGGGTCCGTAGCGATCTCCGACAAGTTCCGTCGCCGTTTGCGTTCGCGCTGCATCTCCACTCTCTTCTCCGTGGGCTTATTGTTGGACACCGCGAGGAACTGGTCAAACGCCAGGTGCTTCGTGAGATCGAACACAAAGCGCATTTTGCGGTCGCACGCGATTTTGGCTTCACGGCACGGTCTGTAGCTCGGGTGGTCGGCCTCAATCATGCACAGATGCTTTATTGTGCTGTGCGTGCATTTGGCGCACGGCCCCAAGGCCAGGGTAAGTGCGGTGTGGTGTGTGAGCTTGAAAGAAAGAAAGGGCCGCTCACCGAGAGGCTTCGCTTGTTCCATTAGCGCACCTTGGGGGTGCCGACTGAGAGGTTTTTGCTTGTACGCGTGCGGGAGGCCAGCCGTGCGACTGTGATCCAGAATCGGTTCAGGACGTCCGGAGAGGCGTCCACCCCAGGCAGGGTCATTACTCGGGATTCTTCGCCTTCGGGCCTCCTGGATTTCGTCGCCTCCGAACGGCGCGTAGAGGGCATCCGAGGCAGTTAAACGTCTGCAGTTGAACTCCGGCGGTGGCCATCACCGCTTCCTGTCCAACGTGGTTCTACGTGTTTTAGCCCGCCACGACGTGCATTAGCAGCCCTGCAACACATTAAATCGGCTCCTCAAGTACTTGTGTGCATTATCCTTTGTGTTTGACCAGCCTTTACGCTTCGCGAATACTTATTGGTACCGGAGTATCACGGTTCGAGACCTAGATAGTCTAGATAGGCCGTTCAGAAAGATGATATAAAACCGATACGATGATGCTTCGCAACAGACCCTCTTTTGATAATAACTCGATTCATCCGGATCCATAGACCAGCTTCACACTTCATCGAACGTCCCTCCACCAGCTTCATATTTCCTCGTCAGTGGGATTCAGCTCGTTCCAACAACTGCCACCGCCAGCCCCAACAACAGGGCATCTGCGCCCCACGTTTGCTTTGCAGCGACGCGCATCCCGAGCCCGAGCGCGAAGAACACGGTGATGATGGCCGCGCCTGCGCGCCGCGTCCGACGGCTTAGCAGTGAGGCACCAAGCACGATATCCATGGTGGGGATGAGCCAGCCCTGAATGGTTCCGGCGGAGTTGGGCGCGCGCGCGAGTTGGAAGGCGTACCACGCCGGGGTGTATTGGCCAGAGGTGAAGCGTGAGAATGCGCCGAGGAAGGAGACGCCCGTGAGGAGAAGGGTGGCGGGGAGGTGCAGTGGGCTGGATTTTTGGCGTTGGGGAGATTCGGCCATCTGAGCTGCGGTTTTTCAACTTGGCTCGGTAGTGGAAGAAGACCGAAGACCGAAGATCGGAGTTCAAAATCGGGGATTAAACCTCCTGATGCTGGATCGGAGTTTGAATTTTGTGAGGCTTGCAATTTTCCTCCGCTTACAGCTCAAGTCCCACTAGCTTGAGGCAGGAAGAAAACAGCTGTCTTGTAAACGAGCGACCACCTGTACTCGACGCGTTTTATAGCGCTATCCAGGCCAGAATGCCGCCCAACCGAATACCCGACTAGCC